ATAAAAAAGCATCCTTTCTTAGTGCCGTCAGTGAACTCCTTTCACATCAAGGAAAGCCGCAATAGCGTATTATCGGCAAATCGGCGTTTAAAATTGGAGAAAAGAAATTATGAATTTTTTATTTAATATTTTTATAATTTTTTTTTTTCAAGTTTATGTTTAATATTTGCTCTATTTTAGCCAAATCGAGGTATGTCAAGAAGACAACATCAAATCATATCACATACTCTTTTTAGTTAAATAAAAAAAGCATTAGTTGTAGTTTAACATTTAAAAAGTTATCGGTCATTCGAATAATACGTGCAACATTCCGCCAACCGGGTGGGCGCCATAACAATTGCTTGCGCATTTTGAATGCCCAATTAGGTGGTAATAAAATGAGTAGTATCTAATGAGTTAGAAGATTCCAATCCGAAATGGTTCCCAAACTGTCGTATGTACAAGTATAAAGCTCAATTGACCATATTGGGTGTTATGCATACGTGACGAAACTGGCGTAGACTCACCTTTGTCAAGTGTTGAGGGCAAAATACTCCGAAATGTGCCTCCGTGGCTGCACTACCGCCTGCCCACTAGTTTACCTTCTCACCCCTCAACTGCATATAACATTCATATAAATATGCTAGTATGTACGCGTGTGAGTACGTACATATGTAGGTTGATGCTTCGTCACATTAGTTGGCGTAGGAGTTGCACGCACTGGCACTCGCGCATAGCTGGATAATCTGCCTGCGGTACGTTTTATCATCACTTTGTTGCGAACGTGTTGAGCGTGTGCTCTTAGATCTTTATCTGCCTGACTTTAATGTGTAATTAAATTAAACACTTTCCAGATAAGCACATATAAGTAATATACACTTGTGTTAATTGATAGATAGTATAAGCGAAAGTAGATATATTGGTGTGATTGTGCGTAGTATTGTACTAGCAAAGCGTAGGAGTTGCAATTGGATTCGTGATGCGTGCGATTTATTCACGTGAACACATCCTAAACAAATTAACAATTAAACTCAAGGACCATTAAGCTGCAATTTGTCATATTCGCTTATCAAATTTTAAATCGGAGTTGAGGGAATGAGCGCGCTCTATACTGATGGCGGTGGAAACTATGTATGAGTACGTGAGTATGCTCTCTAGAGTTTTTTGTTGGTTTCCTCATCCCGTTCAGTAAAAACGGAGTTTGTTGAACAAGCCAAAAAGTAAGGGGTTTCCCAATAAGAGGTGTTATTTTGAATGTCCTGCTAAAAATTCCTGTAGATGTCACTTTTGAAACTGAAATTTCTTAACCTTCGACAAGTAAAAACTATGACAGCAATAAAAGTAAACGACACAAGCTTTAACAACACATTAAATTACATAAAATTCATTTTTAAGGGGCACACCTAATGTAATGGCATAAAAAATGGTGATTTTTGGGAATTTTTATTAAAAAAAAATACTTTATCAATTTTTCAAGATTTTAAGACTATATTTATACATGTTTCAAGAATATACAGTGATATTTTTGAAGAAAAAAATTTAATATTTTTTAAGTTGTAGTCGATCTCCAACGGCGCGAAAAAAGGTCCTTCACTGCTGCAGTGATTCCAGCCTTCTCCGTGGATGAAAAACAAAATATCTACTAGATAATATTGTCTGTACAATGAATTTTTTCGAATTTTACCCAAAATTTTGGTCGTGTTTTGCCTGCCGAAATTCGATTTTTTGATCAGATCAAAAATCGATAGGTCATTGTACGGAGAAGTATATATAGAACATGTAAAAAATATTCGATAGTGATCGGATCATTTATTTTTGAGTAATCACTGTAGCAAATTCGGAAAATGCTGTCTCGAGAAAAACTCGTTTAAAGATAAAATGATCGTTTTCACTCGTAGCTAATGAGACTCTCTAGCTGCCGAGCGGCTGCTCCTTAAATTGTTTCCTCGTATTTCTTTGGTATTGGGCATTCCACAAACGTCATTTCATAGTATTTTGCAACAGAAGAATTCAAGCCGACCGATCAAGAACAACGTCGTATCTTTGCCGGTTGTGTTCTTGAAATGCCAAAGAATGTACTTCATCGTAAAATCATTTTGACGTCAATAAGCAAAACTGTCGGATCTGTGGTCCGGCGAACCAACGATTTATTATGGAAAAGCCTCTCCATACTCACCTTTCCGAAACATTTTTTCATGTAAACCTTTCCAGTAACCAGACAAATAATGTTACATAATTTCAAGTCAATCGGATAGTAACTCTTGGATATTTACGGATATTTATAAATGAACTTAAAATTTGTATATATTTAAATTAATATTTCTGATAATTAGCTCGAAATATAAACTACCAATGGAAGTAAACATACTAAATTCGGAAAATAGTTTTACTTGAGAATCAAAAAAAGTTATTAATATTAATTAATCCGACTAACTAAAACAATTACTTCCTAAAAATTTTAAATTTATTATTATTCATGAAAGGTGCCGTACAAGTTAGGCAAATTTCTTCATTTTTGGAGGTTCAGAACTACCAAAATACCCAATTCCTGACATATTTTTTCTTATAGTTCAGACAAATATCAAATTCTATATTTAGGAAAGATTTTTATAAAAAAAGAATTTTTTTTTGTGCAGTTTGTTTGTATTTGTTTTAAGTGTTGTTGGTGTTGGTGGACTTTACACCACACTTCACCACACGTTTAATGGAGGCATGACAAAGCTTTAAAAACTCAAAGAGCTTGTAAAGAAATCTGAGTGCGCCCTTAGAGCTTTCAAGGTGTGTATGCACAGTTATCTAGCAAATTTCTGTGACTGTATAAGTAATGTCGGTACTGGGTGGCTTATTTTCAAAAACCGATATTCTATATTATTACTAAATTTAATATGTTGAAGATTATATTCTTCAAAAATTGATTTTGTATTTTTTTTTTTGGAGCATGTAAGAGGTGGACACAAGCAAAAGTTTAGGCGAAAACGTAAGTCAGACCGCTGGAAATGTGAATAATACTTATGGTCCTGATACTGTAATATTCAATCAATTTGGTTTCGCTGATTTCGTTGGAGTGAATTGTGGGTAGGGACAAAAAGTGGATTACTAACAGCAGCGTCAGGTGAGAACGGTCGTTGAAAAGGTCACTGAGACGGCATAAACGGTATTCAAACCAGGATTGACGGCCATAAGATTTTGTTGTGTGTTTGATGGGANTGAGCAAAGAGGAAATTTCGAAATTTTAGTGGAAAAAATATTCGTAATATTAAAATATCAATTAGAAATACATATAGTTTCGCAAAATAGCAAGTTGCAGACCGCTGGAAATGTGAATAATACTTATGGTCCTGATACTGTAACATTCCATCAATTTGGTTTCGCTGATTTTGTTAAAGTGAATGGTGGGTAGGGATAAAATGTTGATTACTAACAGCAGCGTCAGATGAGAACGGTCGTGGACAAAGGGCACTGAGACGGCATAAACGGTATTCAAACCAGGATTGACGGCCATAAGATTTTGTTGTGTGTTTGGTGGGATTGGCAACGAATAATTCTCCATTAACTGCTCCCCAAATTCTTAATTCGCACAGAAGTGCCCAGATTTGGCCAACAGAAAAGCAACAACATCGATAGTGAGTCGACAGAAGCTCCGAGAGTTTAGTTGATAGGTTCCTTTGCATTCATGGGATAAATCTAAGTGTGATAAATTCAGCCGTAATACAAAGATAATGGATTAAACTTTACTACACCTACTCTACTGTTTCGTACCACTGTTAAACATATTCAGTTCAGTAAATAAGCAGAACTATCGATTTTTGTTAGATCATTTGAGGCGCAGTCACGGTAGAAATTTGCATGAAATAATGTTCCAACATTAAATTATATGGACCTTACTATCGATTCAAATAAAGGTTTCATGCGTTTTTATGCCTTTTTTTTTGAAAAACTTTCAAATAGCTTTTAAAAAATTACCCTTTATTATATTATGTTATTAAAATAATTTGTTTTAAATTTTACTGATGAACTTTTTTTTCTAAACCACCTACAAATTGTGTACACAATTAGAAGAATGTTCTTTTCGAGTGTTGAATTTTAGCCTTACCAAGATTCAAACATCATTTAAATCACTTCAATTACTGCTACCAGTTAATATCACATTGTGAGCATCCAAATTTGTTTTTTTATAAGCCCAGTGAGTTCATTTATAAAAATATATGTATATCTCAAGAGCGATTAAGCCTAAAAAAATGAAATTTATCAAAGCACTTTCGAACTATTCTCTATGCTCGTACATGGGGCATTTCATCACGGGTCCTTAGGTTTCTTGCTTTGACATCCTTCATTTTTTAGGATCTTAAAGCTGTTATCAGCAGCTTGCTCTCACCCATTCAATAGTACAGTAGTGGCAAAAACTTTTCAACGAACTGTTAAACTGAGAAAAATTTAATTCACCACACCGAATAAATCAAATTGACGCCAAAAAACACAACAAAGCTTGCAGAAACGTTACTTATTTCGACATTGAAGCGAGGCGCCGACGAGAGCTAACAGACAGCAGCAGGAGCTACAGTAGCGGCCAGTAATAATATTAATGACAATAAAAATAAGAAAAATAAATATTTGAGGGTGGTATTTGTGTTGGTGTTACGAGCCGTTGACGTCGCAGTCAACGCCAATTGCAGCAAAAATCAACACAACAGCAGACTGTAGGCAACCGTAAAAAGGCGCGCGCACATTTCGCAATGAAGCGTTGACCGAAACACAACGATGCGGGACGTGTGCGCGCAATACAAGGCAAAAAAGTGGAAAAAGGTTAAAAGCGAAATAAAATGTATGTGTTTAAATAAAAAAACCTACCGAAAGCAGTCGTCGGCGAACAATTGACCAAAGCAGAAGCAACAGTTGTGTGCTGTGCGAATAAAAAAAGAGGTAATGAAATGCGAACTAATTTAAATGCGCGCGAAAGAATTAAAAACAAAATTAATATAAAAACAAAATTAAAATAAAAATAAAATAAAAATAAAAATAAAAATAAAATAAAAATAAGAAGTTGAAAAGTAAATAAATAAGTGTCTGTTCAATAAGAAGGAGAAACAAAAATTTAAAAATCTTTGTATATTGAATACAAAAAAAAATGTAATATTTATGTGAAATAAAAATGTAAAATAATTTATTTTCGGAAACTGGTGAAAAAACACATTAAAAGGCTTTTCCGGTATATTTGACGACGCGCGTGTTCGAAAAAAGTGTGTGTTTGTAATAAAAATGTGGCTCCGTCCACCTGTGCGTATGAGTATTATATTTGTAATCTCACGCTAATGAGTAAAATATTAATGAATTATTTCACTTAACGGCAATCAGCACTTGGAAAGCGTTAAATAATGTAATGTATGTGTATACAATTAATTACATTTTAATTTAACACAAAAAAAGCACTAAGAACATACACAAATACAATAAATAAAAAAATATATGATGAGAATCCATGCCCCCAGTCAGTGTCAAGGTTAGTTTGTTTTGGTTTGCTTGCGGGCCATGCTGGACTTGAGGGCGGTGAGAGACATACATGAGCGTACGTACATAGTTCAAAAGCAAATTGTCGTCGCGCTTTCAATTGCCGCTAATTAATCACAGCCGCTGAATGGTTAGTGGCACATAAAATGAATTAACACATCAATTAAAATGCGTAAGTGGCACAAATTTACATTTATATTTAAGACAATACATATCTACAAAACGCACAAATAGAATAGAGGTTGGAAAAGACGAACGAAAACGAAATGCGTTTCTTCGAAAAGTTTGCAATTTACTTCAAGTCAACTTAATTAGTTTCATTGATTTTGTGCTAATTGAGCAAAGAGGAAATTTCGAAATTTTAGTGGAAAAAATATTCGTAATATTAAAATATCAATTAGAAATACATATAGTTTCGCAAAATAGCAAGTTGACAGACAGTTTGTATATTTGTCTAGTGCAATGAATTAATAGAGCGATTTCAATTTTTTTTTTTTTTTTTTTTTGTATGTGTGCTTGTACTTCATTCCATCCATACATTTGACGGACAGTTAACGAACATTTTTAGATTGCAAATATTTATGGGCTGTGGTTTACATCTAACTACATGCATTTAAATATACTACAAATAAACATATTCACTACTTGTAGGTGTGTGATGAAAACCAGCGCTCTTGATAAATAGAAGATTGTCTGTGTTCAATATTAATTGCAAAATGTGATTTACATTGCATGCCATCTCGTGCATCAACTAAAAAATCTTGTATGCAATATTTTAACTAAAAATGTACTTGAAAGCGTGACATGTATAACAATAATTCCAATGCAGATTACATTCCGAAAAATTACAAAAAACTGCAAAAAAATGCAAGAGAAATAGAATTCAATCAATTAAAATAAAATGTGATAAAATGATAAACTTTAATGAAACGTAATAAAAAAGATAATTAAATACAATAAAAAAATAAAAATTACCCTAAGTTAAAAATAAAGTATAATAAAACTAAGTAAAATAAAAAGAATTAAAATAATATGAAATAAAATAAAATAAAAAAATAAGTAAACTTCATAAAAAAAAAACAAAATAATTAATCAAAAAATATAATAAAATAAATGAAATGTATAAAATACTTTTAAATTAAAATAAATGAATATTAAAATAGAATAAAATGAAATAAAATTAAATATGATAAAATAAAATAAAAAATAAATTATTTAAATATTATTAAAATAAGTCAAATAAATTAATATAGAAATAACATAATTAAATTTAAACTAAGTTAAGTTAAAGAATACAAACTTATGTAAAATTGCATCAAAATTAATTAAAATAAGGGAAAAATAGTATAAGTAAATAAATAAAATAGTATGATAGATATGGGTATTTAAAATAAAATGAAATGGAAAATAAAATGCAAAAAAGAAAAATAAATGCATTAAACTAGAATATATATTTTGGATATCAATTGTATTAATTAAATATTATATTGTTTACAAGCGGCAATAATATCTTAAGGAGTATACATTTCTTCCTATAAGCAAACATATAGTTATAAAAAATACTACTAAGCCTACCACATAAATATTTTGCATTCCTTCTAACTGTTTATACCTGGTTCAGGTTTATTTTATACACCGGCATTCAAGCAAATTAGCGCCAACACTCTATTGTGCCTCCTTCTTCGTTTTCTGTCGACCACTCTATTATTTACTCAACGGCGTCGGTATGTATATGCTTGTGTGCATTGCAGTGCTTCCCTCTTTCACGAATTATGATGTCTTCCTCTTCCTTTCTATACATTCGCATACGAATGCAGAGCGAGTGTAACATTCTGTTGTTTTCCTCCATTTATTTGTTGTTCGCATTGTAATTTTTGGCTTTTTCAGTTGTATAGAGCTCGTTTTTTATTATTATTGTTGTGTTTACATTTTTGTTTATTTGGTATCTAATGTTTACACAATTGTTTAGTATTTTCCGTGATTTTTTCATCGCTTTTACTACTAATTAATTTCTATTTTTCATCGACATTTTCTTCTTTTTCTGTTTGTATTGTTTGTGTTGCTGACCAGAATTCATGGGGTTTAGTAAAATATAAATCACGTTAAACTCTGCATGCATGTGAGTTTATATGCTGGTGTTGGCAGTACACTAGTAAGTCATAAAAAATTTATAAAACGTAATTAGTCTTTCCTCAATTTGTATAAACGAGTATATGTTTCGGTTTTTATTGCTTTTTGATATTGAAGATCCTTAATATTTATTGCATTCCTTAAAAATTACAACAAAAATATATTATTCAAGCTCATTAATTTTTCTTTGTTAATCAATGGCAGTGAAATAATTGTCGATGTAGCGAAATAAAAAATTATTCTATCCACATCTTAATCTCGACTCTTATGCTGATATTTCATCGATCCAACAGCATTTTTGCATTTCGCTAGATTCCAAAAATGTGAAAATCTTCCATCAGTATTACTTGATGCTCCATTAATGTAATTAATTAGTTGTTCATAAATGCATAACACCTCATCAAATTCATTTTATTGCACAAACAAAATGCCAAAGAATGCACTGATGCAAGGTCAACCGTTTAGTAAAAGGTAATATATGAAATGTCCGCTCATACGCAATAGATGATACATCATAAATTAAGACGTAGCATATACATGGTTAAGTTTGCGAATTTACTCACGCATGTATGCACACACACATACACAAATGGTCATATCAAAAGTCACATTATATAGCGTCAGTAATACATCATAAACGTGACAGTCTCAAAAATATTAAAGCAATTTTCTTAAGAATTTCTTTCACATATACACTTAGCTGCATAAAAAATGTAAGCACATGCGTATCGAGGTACGTACTCGTATGTAGATACGAATATATGGGCACATACCAACATACAAGCATATGATAACCTGCTTTTCATTATGAGTTCTTCTCTGCATGCAATCAGGAAAAACTACGGATCGCATTATATATTTAAAACTTCATCATAACTTTTTATTTCCAAATGATTAATTCATTTTTTTTTTATTTTTTTATTTTATTTTATTTTATTTTATTTAATTCAATTTTATTTTATTTTATTTAATTTTATTTAATTTTATTTTATTTTATTTTATTTTATTTTATTTTATTTTATTTTATTTTATTTTATTTTATTTTATTTTATTTTATTTTATTTTTTTTTACTTATTTTTTATATTACTTAATTTTAATTTACTATTTAATATTTATTTTCATATCCTTTATATTTTTCTTTTTTATTTAATTGCGTAACCCTAACGCCTTCAAATTTATTTACATTATGCACACTTGCATCATATCAATTTATTTGCCAACGTGAAAGGGGAGAGGATATTTACTGTTATCTGATGCACTTAAACGTTGCCTTCATTCTTTCTCGCAAGTAAATTGCTTTCAATATGTTACAGTGCACAACTTAATTTTGAGTTACTTTAGAAATTCGCAAACACACGCACATTGCTATACACATACATGAGAACAGACGCTTGCACACACAGTCGTCTGCTGATTGTGCCTTTGTGGTTAAATTAATTAAATTAAAAGTTTCCTGTTAAGCTGCAACAACACCGTTCAGTGCATGCAACGAACGAGCAGATATAATATATAAGGTGGCACGCTAGTCGCTATGAGACGCGTGACTCGCACTTGTATGAACGCTTACCATCAACGGCTTATCTTTTACGTGAAAATTAATAGAAATACATACACCATACTTGCGCCATATGTAGTACATAGTTTACTACATATGGTTGGATATAAATCTATATTTACGCTCATAAACCTTTAAGCTCTTACAGCGACTTAATTTTTGCAATGTTAAGCGATTATTCACTAAATACAATAACTGCAGTACATGCATACTTGTATACCTCAGTGACATACATTACGGGGAATTAATAAACCAAAATGAAGAGAAGAGAATTCTTCACTGTTGCATGAGCGCGATATACTTATGTGTAGGTTTCCTGCATTCTATGCATTCTATAGCGTTCATACTACCGCATACCTACTATTAGTGGCAAGCGATGCATATTGGCTGGTGGCGGGTGGCTGGTGGTGAGCTTATCAATCTGTTCCGTCTGTTTGCGGTAACCTTTACACAATATACAAGTTCAAATGCAATTTTTGTATGAACTCGTCGCTTTCTTTGTTGTTGCTTGGAGATAAACAAAGCGAACAAAGCACACACCCATTCAATAATACTATGTTGCTTTCGCGGTCGGCGTGGTAGAGTGGTAAACAGTGGATTCGAATACTGGCCAGACCGTTGACAAAAATAATAGAAACAGTTCTCGATAAGTTTTCGCAAGAGCTTGGCCGTAAATCCTTTCATCGTTTAAAAAGTCTATTACCATATAACTTTCTTGTAGTGGAAGCCTTAACCAATGCATAAAAGTCCAAGTTCTAGACTAGAAATTATTGTACTAGTATTTTACTGGTATCATGCTGATGCATGTTCTTGAGAAAATTACCTCCTGTCGCTCTTCTAGAGCAAGTTTTTTATCAATTACTTCCACATATACATTAGGCAGTGTAACATTTTTCGGATCATCGAATCCGACAACACTTTCGTGAATTTCTGCGTCATTCCTTATGCATTCTTAGCTCATATGAGAATCTGAGAACATTGGTTTGTGTAACAAGACAACAATAATATCGTGTGAATAACTTTTAATAAGCAGAAAATAATTTCAATAAATAAAATACAAGATTCAACTCAACTCTGCTGTTGGATTGAACAAACATTATATAAAAAAAAGAATATGAAACGACTGCTACTGTCATAGTTGCAGAAATACGTGCTTCTAGTGTCGATCTACGCAAGCCTTTGTCTCCAGAAAATACATTCAAGGAAAAACAAAAACGATTACATAGAAAAATATCAATATATTTGAAAATCAAGCTCATTTCCAGAAAATCTATACCCTTAACGATAAAAATACGTTCACTTACTGCAAAGAGAGATTTAGTACGTAAATTGGGAATAGAATACAACGCCGTGATAAGTTTGAAGGTTGTGCTGTTGCGCAGGAAAAAAAACATTCCACTTGGATTTGGTAAGAAGAAAACGTATGAAATATAATGCAAAGAAAAGTCACCCAAGATATATATTGCTACTACCACTATACATCAAA